GGAACTTCACCCACATTGCTCCAATAAAATACCTGGCTGTATGAACAGTAACAAATGTGAGCAGTTTTAAGTGTCAGCTAAATATCTTCGTAATAAATTTATACAGTATGGAAGCCATTACACATTCATACTAAAATACTATTTCTGTTTGCCTCCACAAGTTAGAATCCCCAATTCAGCTGTCATATTTGCTGCTCAGACCCACACATGAAGAAGTAGGACTGATGATTCTCTCTCTGTGTCACTGTGAAACCTCTTCTTTTTTTCTTAAATGACTGCAGTTTGCCTGCATTACTAGCCTACTGACTCCAAGAATAAGTGGCTCTCTCTGCTGTTCTGAATCCTGCCTCCACTGTTCCTACACTGAAAGTAGGCAGAGATAAATCACTCTCTCACCTCTCCTTACAAACACATAAGATAAAGTCATTGGACTACATAAACAGCTCTTATTTCTCCAGCCTAGCAAAACATGCATTTAGAACAGGAGAAAACAATGTTGAAACACCATTTCAGTCCTTACCACTGTCAGACAGCAACACACCCATTTCCAAACCACTTCATGCAATACAGTGTCGCAGGGAGACAGAGCCTATCCCGGACAAGCAATGTGCACTTGGCAGGAGACTCTCCTGGATGGGACACCAGGACACACTCCAGTGCCAGTCTTCTCAAAAGCCAATTAACCTATCACTATGTTTTGTGGCCTGCGGAGGAAACTGCAGCACCCAGAGGAAACCCACACGCGCACATGGGGAAGATCATACGAACTCCACACAGATACAGATAATTCCCCAGGTCTGTAATTGAGCCCAGGACACCAGTGCAACAAGGCAGCAATGTACTGCACCACCAGGCTGCCCACCACATCAGCCTATTACTCTAATTGCTTAATGATAATAAATAAGAAAGGAGGTGATTTTTCCAACCTATTATGTTGTTTTTAAAACTTTATGTTTATTATTGATGTTTTGAGGCAAACGGAATATTAATCTTCATCGCCCTTCGGCCTGATGCTTGTTTGGTACTGGACTGGACTCAAGACAGTCGGCAGAGAGATTTTACATTTCCAAGCAGTAGCAAAATTTCACCTCAAGACGGCTCAGGCTACAGTTTAGAAAGGAAGTTGTTGTGCCTTCACTCAGCTCCTGAATGTGACGCAAGGCAGGAAAGACGGGCTGCGTTCGTGACAGGGGTCTTGCTCATTACCGACACATTTTCTCTTTCAAAGCACGCTTATTCTTCTAGGTCGGTGGGGGCTGGACACAGACTGTGCCTCCGCCGGAGTCTCTGTCAGTGGGTTCGTGCTCATGTGAACATCTGTGTCAAGAGCATGAGTGGGGAGGCGAGGAGGGGGAAGGGGTTGCTCGAGCACTTGTGGCCTTCAATGAGAGGCGCAGATCAAGGAGGGATGTGCTGATCAGAGTGACAGATGAACAATGTCCCCATTTTGCCTGCCCGCTCTGAACACCCCCATTCATCACCGGCTAGGAGATTAATTCAATTCATCAGATCCGTGTCTCCTCGGGCCCTCCTAATGCAGCCTGATATCGCTCGGGGGAGCTGCCTAATAGAATGTTTGTGGACTTGATTACGGGCTGCCTCCTCACAACAGAATTAAAATGTTACTCAACAGGCACTGTCGAGCTGCTCTCCCCCCTTGCAGCCGGCTCCTGCAGAATTCCAATTATCCTAATGAGGAAAAAGCCACTCCTGGCAAAATCTGAACCAGAAATGGGAGGGAGGAGCCCGGAAGGGCAGGTACCAGAGCATAGGGGTAAAAGACGGTACGAAAGAAAGAAGGGCTATTCAACCTGCCGGAGTTCGTTTGTGTTCTCCCACCGCCTGGAGGCCCTGCGCGGTTATGTACATCCACACTGCCCCTGCATCAGTGGGATGGCTCCCGAGTCTGAAACACCTTCTTGCTCATGAATCAGACAGTCAAGCCGTCTGTCGCAGCAAAGCTACAGCGTTAACGTGTCTCTACTCTTCTGGGAGGCTGACAAGCTGTTGAATAAGAAAACTGCGAATTCGATTCATCATCACACTGAAGTTCTGACGCTTTACAACACCACATAAAAATTTTACTTTTTGCCCTTTCACAACCTTGAAATTAATCTGCCCTATACCAGTTTTGGTAGTATAGCTGTTGTTGGCCATTTATGTCAGCCACACGCGGCAAAATGTGTTTCCTTCACTGAATTTGTTTCTTCTTTGTCACCACCAGTCACACAAAAGCTTTGGGATCAACAAATGGCTTTGTGTAGTCAAAACAGCAACAAGGCAGTGTCCACACATTCACAGAAGTGGCTTCATATACAGAACAGCCATTTGGGGGTCAGCTGTGGCACACTTTGGTTGCAGATGGTACAGTCATAGAAAAAATTAAAATTACTTTTGAAATCAAGACAATGCTGATGACGGTGAATGTGTAAAATGGAATTTTCACTATGAAGCTCCAGCTCTCCGAGATCCTGAACTGGATCAAGCATTTAGAAAATGGATGGGCGGAATTCTCCTGTGCTTTAGTACAATCAACTTAGCAAATGATAGGTGAGATTCAAAGTATATTAAATAACTCACGGTATATATTCACTGTCATAATACAATGTGTAGGACAACCTAATTTACTGCATAGACTTTTCGTTAGGGTGCTAGTGCATTTAACTGTAGAAACATATACATATGTTTATGTAGTTCAGTATTCTTTAAGACATACAAAATCTCAGAAATTAATGTATAATCACTCTTTCTTACATATGGCTCAACATTAATTTAAGCTGTTTCAATGTTCATCTACAATTCCAAAATGGCTTTGTACTCTTAACTTTTTATAATCAGATACACACAGATCAGACAACTGCCTAGAGTTAACTTATGTGCACTGTTCGAGGGCCATGATTTTTTATTTTAAAAAAGGCTTAAATTATTTAAAGTCGTCCATTTGGGTAAATCTTTTTTTTTACCGTCTTAAAATAGCCATGATTTAGTACACAGTAGTTAATTAGGGACGTCTGTACCGTAGGGCATGTATTTTTTGGTACTCTAAAATATTCAGAATCTCTTCACACAGCTGTTCATTTCCAATATCTTTAGATTTAGACAAATATTTCATTAGCTATGAGTCTGGTAATTGCAAAACCAGAAAGAACATGACTTGTAATTATTATTTCCAAACGCTCCCGCAAAGCCAAAACATTTAAACAAAGAGAAAGCCGTCTTACTTCCCAGACACTGCTGCCAGAGGGGTCGTAGCTGATCACAGCCCAGCTATGAGTACTTCAAAGGCTGTCGAAGGATAAACTAAAACCTAGACTAAATTTTCTTGGGCCGCAAAATCTTCCACATTCCAACATTATCATGCAGACGCTGTCCTTGGAGTTCTGCTGCTGCACGGCCACAGTACATTGAGCCATCTTGTGGACAACTTGAGAGCAGCGCCCATGAATACCGAAAAACACTTTCCTGCAGAAAGTCGTTGAAGAATCATGATTGAGTGTGAGGTTAACGTGCACATAGAGGATTACGCAAACTGGATTAATGTTTCTTGCCACACGGTGTGTATGCATCTACAACAGAACTGACTTTCGCACCCCTACCTAAAGGAATCCCCAGACTGCTTCAGCAGAGCTATAGTAAGGAAGTCCACTTCCGGTCCTTGCAACCTAGCAACACCTGTAACATTAGTGTTTTTTTTAGAAGGCCAGTGTGCTACGTGCATTAGGATTTGCCTGTCAGGTATCCTACCCACCCATCCAGAAGGATTTTGCTTACTTAAATCATTTTACAACTAGATTTAAAAATGACTTTTTTGGAGTCTTTTCCAAAACTTTGCATGCTTTTTACAAGTCAGGGTTTGGCATTATATCTATGGTAGAAGTCTCTTGTAATAAGGTTCAGCACCCCAGGGAAAGGGATTCATTTAAAAAATCTTCATACCATTCTGGCTTGAAGGCTAACCTATTTTTTTAAATGCCTCAGAGCATCTTAAAGGCTCAGCATCAAGGTCTGGAAACTAGGTGGTGGTTTAAAAAGAAAACCAGTAAATTCTTGATCTCCTGTGGGTGCCTTCTTTCCCTTGTTACAATCAGATGTTTCAGCCCTTTCCAGTCCTCTGTGCATGAACATGATTCTAATTGTTAGTATAGACCTCACCCAGGTTTTAAGACTACAGAGCTTTTGCAGCACAGTTCAATTACTGGCATACAGACAGCCCTACTCACCCTCCACTGGGACTCAGCCAGTCATTGCTAGATTTTAATATACAGTTTGTCATTCACTTAATGGGGGATAGAGAACTGGGTACTTGGAATAAGAATGTATCTGCCAAACCAGGGAAGGGGAGGATTAGATGGAACACCAGTCCATCACAGTAGTACATGGATGAGACAAAAAGGACCAGCTTTCAAGTCTAAGGTAACATTTGCCTCTTGGTATCCTATCCAGTGGATAGGTCCAATTTACACTGTAGGTCAAGCCCCACAGGTCATGTGAGCTTGGTTAGAAAACCAATGGGTACTGTAATCCAACTTTTAAGTGGAAATGATTTTAAATTAGGAAATCAAAAAGACTTGTTAGCTCTAAAGTTACTATTGGAGTAACTAGCTGCCAAGTTACATGCAATGGCCTCTATGGGCTACAGCACAAGCATCAAGAAACGGGGGCAGATATGTGAAGCCTACATTTAACAGACTAGGGAAATCTACATGAGCCCCATGTAAGTTCATATACTTCCCAGGAATGTCAAGAGTCAAAGTTGGGCTTTTTACTTTCTCAGAGCTAGGTTAATTCCAGCTGACAGTGCTCAGCATCATAAGGTTGTGTTCACACTAGCAAATGAAGTGTGAATTGTCACCATCTTACTACCACAGACTAAAGCTGTGGAAGGGACAGCTCCAGGCACCCTCCACCAGTGACAGATGTAACAATTCTTGTCATTAGTCTTGGTCTGACTGGGAAGGTACCTCCTAGAAATACAAAGCGAGAAAAAAAAAAGAAAAGGATGCTATGCAAGTTCTTTATTCTTTTATTTCAACCAGGATCCATGACATACAGATCATTAGGATTCCTTTGGAAAGCTGCAGTGAATGCCAACAACCCTGTGCACCTCATCTATCTGGGCAGGGATGAGTAGCTCACTCTGTGGCTTGGTCTGCACTCCTGAGGGAGACCAGACACAGAAGTAGTACATCAGAGACAGGGCACCAAGGAGGACGGTCACTAGCAGTGCTCCAGCCAAGAAGATCACCCAGATGGGAACTGGATCCTCCTCTGGAGAAAAGGAGACATTAAGTAGTTAACAGCACTTAATATTAAGTCTGAAGACCTTCCAGATCACCAAGTAGAGGGTATCATTGTACCTTGTATGATGACTGCAGGGACCTTGGTTTCAAAGAAGTCACCTGGATCCTCTTCAGGCACAATCCTCAGTGGTCCCAGTACCGTAGTGTGCCTCAGTCCCTGCACATCTGGAGAGGGTTTATGGTCAGGTATCCAACAGTCAAACAGCAGCTTCATTATAAAAACGATCACATTTTTATACCTGCATCTCTCTTTCTCCTTCCCACACAGCTTGAGGTACAGCAGTCACATAGCACATACTGTGAAGGATCATCTAGTAGCTCCCACCTGTACAATGAGAACTGGTCACAACAAGTACTATACAGAGAACACCAAATAGTGCAAGCTGGACCTTAATCCAGTCACCTGTTGGTGGTCTTGTTGAAGTTGCAGGCTTTCTTGGTGGGGTCATTTAAACGTGCAGGGTCCCAGGCCACCAGCTGACAGTGAAGATAAACCTGCAGAGAAGCAGTTTTGTACAACACCTAGTGTATGCATCCCCATGTCACTTGGAGAAATTATACTAGCTTAAAGAAAACTTACATCATTTTGTGTCATGAACTTGAAGGCCTGTACCAACACCTGAATATTTGAGGTCTGGGATCTGGGCAGGAACCTGGAGTTAGAGGTTTTGCTGTCCTCAAAGCACCTGTTGTAGGACAAGAGAGCCTCAAGCCAAGAATTGGGTTGACCATGTCAATTGGTATGGGAGCAGTTAAGGCTAAACACTACACTGCATGTTTAGAATCACAGCTCATTCCATACAGTTGAAAGGATTGTCATTGATCCTCAAACCTTAAATCCACTAGTAGCAAGATTACCCATAGTTGTTGATGAGCGAGTAGGTCTGGCTTGAAGGACTCAGCACTGCAGTGGTGGCAGCAACACACTCTTCCAGGAAGAGGATCAGAGGCATGTGGAACTGCTGGTCCACTGCAGCCTGGATGGGAATAAGTGACCCCAGGAAGAACGTGGTGGAGACCCTGGGGGCACTGAAGTCATCTGGAGTAGATCATGCATGTTAATCTTTCAGGTAAGGCACCAAATAACAGGTATCCTAAAGCTTTGTTAACCCTCACCTGCCATAATGTCCATGGAAAAAGTCAGGGTTCCAAATCCAGAAGCATCTCCCAGGGCAGGGTTATACAAGGGAGGAGTCCAGTCAGGAGACCTGGAGGATTAGAGCACAAAGCAAGTAAATAGAGCTCAATTTACAGATGCTCAAGCAAACTTGAGTCAATGCACATCCACATCCATTAAGAAAAGCAAGTCAGCCCAAGTGTGTAGTAGTTACAGAACCTTCAGTTATTTTAGAGCACTTAGCAAATAATGGGGAAACCAAGATCACCCATCCCTGTGGTCCCCACCAAGGGAAAAAAACCCAAGGAATTTAGGGATCAGTCCACATTACAATCAGGTTAAGTCAAACCACCCAACACCCCAGATAGAGAAAGCAAGACTTTGGCCTAGAACACAACCCATGTCCTCTTGGGTCAAAGGGTCCCCTTGCTTTCTACTCACTTTACATAGGTACACTCAATGGGTTCAGAGAAAGGAGATGGGTAGAAGGCAGAGGTTGTGGGTTGGTACGTCAGGACATTTTTGTAAACCAGGATGTCAGCAGTTGCCTGGGAACAGAAGTAAAGTGGATTGTGGGTGAGAGGCAGGGAAGCAGCTAGTTGGCCCTGCACTTGGTTTAGCGACAGCCTTACCATGCGCATGAAACGACAGTCCAGGAATTCACTCTGGAATACTGCTTGTCCTTGTGCAACATTAGACACTGGACAGCTTCCCAGTAGCAGGCCAGAAGGGTCCAGAGGTAAAAGAGAGCGCACTTTAAGGTCCACACTCACAGTAATGGAGTCCTGCCCACAGCTCACGGTAATATCTAGGGAACACAAAGTGTTTAACATCCCCTCCCAGTGGTGCATTATTATCTCTTAGGATAAGAACCCCTACTAATTTAATTTATACCCAGGATATAGTAAAGAGACTTTTACTCTGGTAAAAGCATGTAAACACCATATACCACTTTGCTTTAGAGCTTTTACAGTCACGAAGCTAAAAAGCCGAGGCCAACTTGAATTGCCAGATAACTACGGTAAATCATAATTGCACACATACAAAACGAAATGCCAAATACCCCAAAAACAGATTAAAGTTCACATACCATGTCCTTGCTGCGTCAGAACAGGAACCGTGAAAAACAGTCCCATCGCTACAAGACTCCAAAGAAAAAACATTTTCACAACTGAACCATACAAACCACCTTCCACCTTCCGAATTTATAGGGAGAGACCCAGCGACCGAAACATTAATCAGCTGTTTTGCCCTGAGCGGACCAGCTGTTGTCAATTATTTCCCCTCAATAGACTTATTTCTGTCGCTCTTTGTTAATTATTTTTATACACGTAATATTTGGGTTCTTCTTACGTAGTAGAACACATAAAAACGATCTAAGGATTTTTAACGTTTTAAATGGGCAGAAACCTTATTAATCATCTGCGAAAATCGATGCCTTTCTATGCAAAGGTAAATTAAAGCTTATAAATGTAAATTTAATGTAATTAACTTCGTAATTAACGCTGTTTTTATTTGTTTGGGTGAAGGCTGTCTATACAGAGGTTTGAACCATTTAAAACTTTATTTTGTTTTTTGTTTTAATACACGTTTACAGTCCTAAGTAGGGTGACCCGTTCACCAAGGGATTCCTGTAGCGAACTGCACAAAATATTTACATCTTTTTCTGCAGGTTAAAAATATTTAAACGTTGCGCGGGTTTTCTTTCATATGGTCCTTATGGACGAATGCAATGCCAGTGAAACTACTCAAATATGCGCAATAACAGCAGCTGAAGGTATTTGAAACCATTTTAACCCGTTTCCTGGCAAGACTATAACCCTCGTGTTGAAAAGTATAAGTTTTCCTCTCAACTCAGTGATCTTACTTATCCATGCAAAACACTGAAAATATATTTTACAGTTGCAAACTATATTAAAAATATCCAGGTCAAAATAGCAAGTCCTGATGGAATTTTTGGCACGACAATAAAGTGTTGTGCTGAAGAACTGAGTGGAGTTTTTTCATCGGTTATTCAAGTTCTCTTTATGCACTGGCACAGTTCCTCCTGTTTGGAAGACGTCTACAGTCGTACCTGTTCCTAAGAAGAATAGACCTAAATCTCTCAATTAATTTAAGCCAATAGCTCCAACTCCATTAGTGACACAGACTCTTAAAAAAGTCAAGTTACATATTAAAGTTAAAATAGTCAGATGCTGACCCCCTCCTGTTTGCCTACAATCCCTGAAGGGAAGCTGACCATGCTAATATTTTCTACTCCATGTTCTTTATAAACATTTAGAGTGGAAAATATCTTCAGCTAGACTTCTTTGCTGCTTTTTCATCAGCCTTTCATACAACGCAGCCTTACATTTTGATTGAAAAACGTATCGAACACGTTTCAAATTAGACTATCAACATACAGTACGGTATCATGTGGATCATTTGTTCTCCGACTCACAGAATCCCAAATCTGCTTATTAATGGGTTGGCATCCGAGCCTGTTTGTAATTCTACGGGTTCACCACAAGGCTGTGTTCTTTCTCCCTTTCTTTTGATCTTATATACAGATGACAGAGCATCTGTGATCAGCAAGTTCGCTGATGACATGGTATTAGTCCCTCTTCTCTCAGAGCCTGGACAAACACATGGACCCCTTCTAGATGCATTTGTCAATCAGTGTGATATTCATCTTGAGATTAATGTAAAAAAAGAAGTGATTGGTGAACAAAAAAAAACAAAGCAATATCATTCCCACAGTAAACCATGGTGGGTCTGTTGGCATAGTTCATAGTCACCAATACAGTACCTGGGCACTGTTTGATAAACTTGATCTCACCGAGAACACTGTATAATTGTGAAGAAGTCCTAACAGGACTTGTGGTTTCAGAAAAGTTTCCCCACAAAGAATTTCATAGCTCTTTTATTGAAAGCATCTTACATTTTTCCTGTTTGTTAACATCCATTAAAAGGACAAAAATCACATCCAAGATGTTCCAAAATCCTTGGCAAGGCTTTGGGACTCCTGGCACAGCTTCCTATCCAGCAGTGAAGACCCATCTCATTCTTCACATCTTTGCCTTCATGTACTGTAGAGGCCATCAGGTTCACACAATGAGTGTAAAGAGTTTTGATCTTTCTGGGACAGATGCAAACATGATTTAATTCTTAACTTAAATTGATTGTGTAGTATACAACATTCTGCCATTATGAACAATTTATGACCCTCTTTCCTTTAAGTATTGCAATACCATGTTGTGTAACTGAGTTTATAACGAAGGCTTGAGAGGGATGACAACCAAGTTCAAATTAGACTCAGCCATCAGTAATTACAATACTCCAAATACTTATGTGAACCCTAGCTTTCCCTTTCAGGGGTCTTTCACATCCCACCTCCACAGCTACCCCTTGGTCACCCTGCATGGGAGTCCTGGCCTCCTTGTTCTATGGGCAGGAGGTCAGCCCTCAGCCAACTGGGATAAGCCAAATTTCCCCTCTAACCCTTTCATGCTTTAAGCTTGGGTGTTGTCATTCCTAGTGAAGCAGTTTTAATTTGGAATGTTGCACTGCTTGCTGCTTAAACTCCTCCCCCTTGGGCATGAGGGAGGAACTTTGAATTAGTTCTAGGCAGCTGTACAAGTGTGAATTGTACCTATACTCTCCTAAACACCTATATTCACCCCTCTCCACCCAGTCACCTCCACAAGCAATATGCACAATTGCTAAACATGGAATACACAAAAACATATTGCTTCTGGATGACTTGGAATAGGAAGCCACCTTACAAAGATGCTAGTGAGGGGGATTTCCCCCACACAGAGTGCCACAGTGTGTGCAGCTTAGGGATTAAAGGAATAAAAAAAAAGCAAATAAAGCAGCAAGACCACCCTGCTTAAATCAGGAGAATTAGTCAAGTTTATCATTTAGCTTTTTTTTTATTTTTCCTCCACTAGGTAAAACAAGGCTGTATTGAGCAAGGAACATGGCCTAGCTGTCCCTTCCATCACACCGGTGGGACCCCAGGCACAGCACTCCAGATGCCCAGCCACCTAGGGAGACCGCTCATCTTGGGTGCTACTTCCCTCTGAAATGAAAGCAGCAAAGGGGGAGAGTATTAGTCAAGCCAGAATGTCTGGAACCCTCCCGCCCCCCAACAATAAAGTCCCAGTTGGACAGGGAAGGAGTTGTGCGATACTATTGGAGGAGCAGGCATCAAGTAGGCCTGATGACTCTCTTGCTTTAGAAAGGCTAAAAGCAGCTCTAAAACAGGACTTGAGCCAACGACTCCAGACGGAAGGGTCACCAACCTAATCGGTCAGAGAGTTCCTTCTTGACAGATGCACCACGCTCACTAGCCTGTGCTGCAGCAAGGATCTTCAGGGGTCCCAGAACAGTGGTGTGCGTCAACCCCTGGTCACCTGACAAGGTGAAAGAGCCGAATTATTCAGACTGAAACGGCTAAAGATGGAAGTTCAGACCATCAGCTCAGTGAGGATTAGAAGAGACTGTGGAGGTAGTTGGTACCTGCTCCCAATTCTCTTTTCTTCCTTTGTGTGCAGATTGAGGAACAGCAGCTGCACAGGGAGTTCTGGTTGGGGTCATCCAACAGCTCCCAACTAGAAGTAATAGAAGGATCCATTTACTCTGGAGATTTCAGGCCAGCTTGCATCAACAATAACAAAGCACGAAGACCACTCACCTGCTGGTAGTCTTGTTGAAGTTGCAGGCTTTCTTAGTAGGGTCAAGTTGCTGCGGGTCCCAGGCTGCCAGCTGGCAGTGAATGTAGACCTGCAAGACAACAGCCATGCTAAATCAAGGAAGAAAAATCAAACAGAGTCTTAAGTGGTATACTTCCAGATAAGAAGCAAGACTCAAGTAGAGTCAACATGCAAAGGTTATCATGTAGGAGATCATTTTACCAGGGATTAATTAGTTTAAGCACCAAGGCTGGTCATGCAGAGTTTACCAAAAGACTTACATCCTCGCCCTCTGTGAACTTGAAGGCCTGAACCACTAGTTGAATTTCAGAGCTCCGAACTCGGGTTAGGAACTTAGAGTTGGCAACCTGGCCATCCACCAAGCATCTATAGTACGGGGGGTGGGGGAAAGAGAAGAGAAAACCCCAATTAAACAAGACTATCTACAGAACCCACCTCAGCACACAGAAGGCCATCTTCAGTTGCCTCTACATCTTAATTGGGGGGTTAGAATTCCCTTTGGCAGATGTAACGAGCACCAAAACAAACCCCTACCCATAGTTGTTGATGAGCGAGTAGGTCTGGCTTGAAGGACTCAGCACTGCAGTGGTGGCAGCAACACACTCTTCCAGGAAGAGGATCAGAGGCATGTGGAACTGCTGGTCCACTGCAGCCCGGATGGGAATAAGGGTCCCCAGGAAGAACGTGGTGGAGACCCTGGGGGCACTGAAGTCATCTGGAGTAGATCATGCATGTTAGAATAGCTCCTTAGAGCAAGGCACCCCCCCCAAGAACAAAGGCATTCTGGATTCCCCCCAGAGTCTCACCATTCATAACATCCATGAAGAAAACCAGGGTTCCAAACCCAGAAGCATCCCCCAGGGCAGGATTAAATACTGGGGGAGCCCAGCCAGGAGTCCTAGAGAACAAACAGCCACAATCAAGAGAAAGAGAAAGCAGGAGGCCAGTGCAAGCAGCCTGCTAGCCCAGTTGTACTTACATGTTATAGCTGCAGACAATCAGCTCATTAAATGGAATAGAGTTGAAACCTGGACTGGGCTTGTAGGACAGTTCATTGCTGTATACCAAGATGCTAGCTGTAGCCTAGAAAGCAAAATAAAGTTAATCATATTATCCCTATGCTCAGTCACGGCAAACCAGATGGTTCTGGTGAGCTTTAGAGAAAGGGACGAGTACCATACGCATGAAGCGACAGTCGAGCAGACTAGACCGGAAAACAGCCGTATTTCCATCAGAACTAAACGGAGGACAGTTTCCGAGAAGCAAGCCGCTGGGATCGACAGGTAAAGCGGATCCTGACGTCAGTCCCACCCGAACGACAACGGAATCGGTCTGACACTCCACCGTCACATCTACCGACAATGAAACGGAGCAAACAAACTCATTAGCACAGGAAAGCTGAGCGCACGGATAGGACTAGGAACACCGTAAGTAGTTACATCTTTACCTCTTTGACTCTGCGAGTCTACAAAAGCGCTGTAGCAACCCAGCAAGAGCCCAACACAACACAGGGAAATCATGTTGACGTCTACTGGCTGTTTGCTAATCCTGTTCTTTTATAGGAAAACGGAAACCAATTAGCTGATCGTCTTCATCGGCTCACGAACAATTGTTAAATCACGTAGCTTGTTACCTGACGCGCACAAACACGACGCTTACGCGTCAGCATAAAACACGTTCATTTTATATTTAATTAATTGAAAGCTCGAAGCTTTTTGTCATTTGTCAATAAAGGAGCGGTGTATCATGTTAACGAGTTGCACAATGTCACAGTTTAAAAAAGTTATCTAATTAGTAGTTATCTAATTTAAAAAAGCAGACACCAGAGACCGTGAAGGAACAACTGGTTACACGTTACCTGGCAAACGTGTTGGTATGGTTAGCAAAGTGCTGAAACGCGCACTAGCTCACCATACCGGACCAGCACAATTAATAAATCAGGGGTGGTTAATACGCTTTGATGGTTCTTATGCAAGACAGTAACATGCTACTTAGCAGCAAGATAAACTGAACAAATAATATATATATATTAATTATTATAGTTTTTTCCCCACATTTATCCACAATTTACTATAAAAGCATCTGATCTCGGATTTTTTTCTCTACTAAACGTTTTGTGTTCGAAATAATACTGTTGTGTTGCCACGATTCTCCGGACCAGAGCCCTTCCGAGCCGGTGAAACGAGAAACAGCTTTACCAGCGGTTTCTTTGGTGCATTAAAACTGGTCATTAATTTTGTGAATTGTGTCGTAGAATGTCCTGTATGTGCCCTGTGAGCAACAATAGCACTGCTCACACAAAGCCAGTTCGCTGCAAAGATGCTGAGAAACTTATGAAAAGTCCGTTTGAAAGTGGGAACAGGAAGAGAATAGAATTTATTCTGTCGGCATTAAGAGTGGGAGTCTTTTTTGCTCAATACTAATTTATGAAATTAGATACCAAAAACCACATTAGCAGGATGGGCTGAATGGCCTCCTGTGCATTGTAAATATAGATAGGGGTGGTCAGTCCTAATTGGAGAGTCACAGTCCAAAAGTGTAAATGGTCTAGATCAGTTTCTGAAGTCTTTTTTTTTCGGACCATGCTAAAATTAATTGACTCTTTATAAACCCCCGGATCAGCAGCAGTCCTAGCTGGTAAGAGCACTTGAGTGCAGGCTGAGCTGTATGATCCAGGCAGGGGTCGGAGCCAGGGTGAGCTCATGGGCCGACAGCTCCCGCGGGTGAAAACGGGGTTTGACGTCGGCAGGCTTGCAGTGCTATTGGTTTTCCACATCTTGGTTCACGGCTAGGAGCCAACCCACCTTCGAGCCACGTGTTATCCAACACACCACAGGCAGCACAGCCCTGGACCAGAGCTTCAGCACTGACTTGAAATACTGTATGTTTTAAATGTGCTATTTGTGAAACCAAGAACCATGTGCAGAAACTGGTAAACAAAAGTCTAAAGTAGCAAGCTGATCAATTAAATGCACCAATCCGCACTGGCAAGTAACAACTTGGAATGATCAGACTGGGTAACTACTGCATTAGATCTTCCTGTACTAATGAATGACCTGCTTCTCTTGAGAGGTACCTTTTAGCACCCTTGTAAATACTCTTCTACTTGGGCCCAGTCAGTTCTCAGCACTACCTACCTTACTGAGGTTAAAATTGAAGAGGGTTAATACCATTAACACAATTTGAAACCGTTTATTTAATCACTTTGTACAGTTAAATGCACAACTGTGATTTTACAAACATGGCACATTTGTTCCGATATCCACATTTAATGTGAATAAATTATTACAGCAATTTAGAACATAAGTACAATGATGGGTCACTTTTTCTTACTTTTTCTCATCCCATATATCCAGATAAAGAACAAGTTGTGGGATTATAGGATAGAAGCTTTTAACACTTTCACAGTAGGTCACATGCAACAAATATGGCTTTTAAAATAAGTTTTAAAAAATAACTTTTGTCAGATTTCTTTTCCTACAGATGTAAACAGAATGGTCTGTAAAATTTTCTGAGACAATTTAGACATACTGTTGGGATTCAAAGTGACTTTGTTCAGGTATATGAACAATGAAGTGCATCTGAAACTTGAATTTGAATGCTGTGTAAACTAAAATGTTTTTGCATGACATCATCTGCTCATCTGTCTGGGTCTACCTCTTTAAATAGTTAGTTCACCTACAGAAATTTGTCAAATCAAAGAGATCATGTCTGCAGACTAAGGAACAGATTAAGATTCAGATCAGATTTCAAGAGCCAGGAAACTGAGATAGGGATTAAAGAGGTTTTATTTTCATGGAAGGGTTCATTTTTAAACTCAGGCATTAATTTGGTGCATTCAGCAACTTGCAAAATTGAAGTGAAAGTGCTTCTATACACTTCACAAAAACAAAACTGACATACAAGAGTTATGTCCCAAGAGTAATATACTAATGGAGATGTGACCCAGGTACAGAGAAACCTTCCTGAAATTAAACAGACCATGTCATTTAACCAACAAGCATGTTACTGACTACAAGTACAAGTACAGGTACAGGCCTGAGATAGTCTCATCTGCAAGTTGCATTATAAACAGTTCAACAGACTTGACACACTTTGGAAAGGCTGGAGAACTGATGAACTGACCATTGGTAGAAGCTATATTTAAAAGCCACTAAGGCACTGGATATTTTGCCATCACTGCTAATGAGGTGAAGAACAAGATCCATACCACAGGTGTAATGTCATGTTCCAGAATTGGTTGCTATTAAAATCAGTAGCTTATTAAACGTCTTCAAATCTTTGCACATATAGGTTTGTAAACACACAAAACATACTGTATGTATGGCACTCTTTTACATCTCTGTGCAAAAGTGAAACCATGCAATACAGTATGTACTTACTCCTCTGCAACAAATGTTCTCTGGTAAAAAACAAAAGAAAAGGTTTGCATAAACAGGCTGCACCAGATGCAAATTTGCTCCACCAACAAAAGGCAAAAAGGCAATGGATAAGAAAACTTATGGGAGATTTCTTTGTTTTATTCTTAGTATTTGAAAATATATAAGGAATTATTTGAAGTTAGTTTGAAGTTAGAAAATCTGCATCTGAAACACCCTTGATACTTAGCCTGTTAGCACTTAACCCAGACATTCATTGCAGCAGAAGCAAAAGAGCATGTCCATATGATACCTGCAAGATAGTTCCAAAGGCTGGAGCTGATGTGTTTTGAACTGAACCTATCAGGTGAAAAGTAACAGAATGGATCACAGTCACTAACCAGGAGTCACCTCCTGCAGGTCTGCATGTTATCACTTACACAAAACAAGTCATTACACAGCGCAATGCTACAGTTCTCCAGATTGCATAGCACAGTATGTGTCCAGATGTGAAGCCCTCGTCTGCCCCAGGAGTCTCTAGTGCAATCTCTAGAGTTACAAGTGGAGCATTAGAAAGATAAGAGCTAAGACCTCCCTTCCTCACTGGAAGCATTGTGAACCAAATCCAGCATGAGAATTTCAGTGAAGTACAAGTCAATTCACAGTGACTGAAGGAAAGGAAAATAAAAATACAAAGTAGCTGTGTTCACCCCGATTTTATAAAAGTAAAATATCTGACTTACATAAAATATATATTTGCTCTTCAATAAATCCATTTTAATGGCAACTAATATGTGTGCAAACGTCCCACATCCTCCTGAAGTCCCTCACTCCCTTGTGTTGAGGAACTGATGGTTGAACTGAAAACCCAAACATGGGGAGAGGCCAGAGTGCAAGGAAGATGTCTGTGTGAGCCAGAGGAGCTGTATCTAATGTAGGACACAATGTATTTTACATATGGATTTTTACCTGTGCTAGAACTACTAGTAATGAAATCTAGAAATTCACTTTGCCTAACACACCTACACATATGAAGAGCGCTTATACGATTGATTCCCTGTGTTTCTGTGCTTTACGTTACAACACAGTCCCCCCGCCAGCAGGGAACGGTGACAGTCCTGACTCTTCCCCCCAGCAGAACTCCCACAGCCTGTGAAACTGGGGCAGGTGTCCAGCATCTTGGTTAGGACTCGTGCTTCCCTCCATCGTCATATAGCTTGCGAAGGGTGGAGTCCAGGAGGTAGTCCACGGACCTGAGGAAGAAGGCACACAAGCATTAAAAACATCCGGGTCTGCAGGAAGGTGCAGAAGTCAACTTGAAGTTGATAGGCACATAACGTCCGAAGAACAGCAACCTCAGACTAATTTGCACTTTTCACAGAGCACCTAAAGCTCATTTCCACAAACTGACCAACTGCTTACAGGGGGCCAGTTGGTCAGCTTCCTAGAATCTGCTTTTTCTGCACAAGAAATGAGAAAATAACAGGACTGCTGACCTCCACCAAACAATGAATAATGTAGAATGTAGCACCACCGGTGTTTACCCCACCTCTGTTTTGGCAGTACATATTACAAGAGGCCTTGCATAGGGCACCGGATGAAAGACTTTCTTTCTGAAATGCAATTGTCCCTTTATTACTTCTGGCAATTCACTGTATCCTGGAATATTCATCAGAGAGTTTTCCCTCAGGCCTTACATAATGCACAAGGCCAAGGTACTGGATTCTGATATACTTAGATCTATTTTGGTCATGCTTTCCGTGATGGTGTTTTGTGCATGTTATCTCTTTGTCAGGGCTGCGCAGTTCAATGAGAAAATCTTGTTTTGATGTGGTGGCAGAACAGGAAAGTGACGACAGCATTTCCCGGGTGTCGAGAGTCCTCCCCTGGTGCCAACGCCTTGCGGCGGAGAGCCTGCGCACCTGTCGATGGGTTTGATGATGAAGGGGATGGTGGACAACCCGATGGCCGTGGTGGTCCACTTGCGCACGGGCAGGGGCCAGCGGGTGGCTTGGCCCAGCAGGAACAGCGACGCAGCACAGACGCGGTTGATGGTGAAGCCGGGGATGGCGACCGAGGCCAAGGCCTGCCACACGAAGGTGTCCACCACCGCCACTCCCACCCGAAGCCTCTTCCCTGGCTTCTCCCCATGTTCCTGGGGACAGGGAAGGGAAGAACCATGGCAGACAACTTAGTTATCTCTCAATGATTCTGACTCGGCTGCTCATTTTGTAGCCTTGTTTCTGTTTTTAGTCTTTGAGGGCTTGTAAAAGTTATAGAATTTAAATGAGAAATTTACAGTATCTCCCTGCGCTTTCCTGTACAGAAAGATCTCAACAGTTTGGCCTGGGACTCCTCATTTTACCCAAGAGGCACTCTGCCTATTGTGTAGGGACACTTGGGGAATCTGGCTGAAGCACCATGTTACCTTTAACTCGCCAGCAGACAACTTCCTGAAGATACAGGCTTGGCCGCAGGGCGTGCCACTCTGTGGAATGTTTGTGTTTTAGTTTCAAAGCTATTCACCGTTCTTCGGGATCTTCATCCATCCACTTTCTACCTGCTTATCCACTACAGGGCTGCAGGGGAGCTGAAGCCTTACCCCACAAGGTGGGATACACCCTGGATGGGACGCCAGTCCACTGCAGGGCAAACACACACTCACGCCAGGACCAGTTTTCCCAGATGCCAGATAACCAACCAGTATGGCTACGGACTGCATGCAGGAAACCCACGTGAACACGGGGAGAACATACAGACTCCCAGCGCTGGGAGGAGAGGCAGCAACGCTAAACACTGCAGCATCATTCTGCCCCAGGTGAAATCTATCACTCAGAACCCTGTTGGTGTGCAACAGCTTCCACGCACAATGTGAGGAAGTGCAAGTCAAGGAATTATTAACCCGAACAGGAATTATGGGTGTGAGCCTCTGTTGTTCTTCAGTGCCACCTGTCCGCTGCGCTGGGAGTTTCCAGCAGTTGATTCCCGAGCTGAGTGTGCACAGGCAATGTCGCAGCACAAGCGCAGCACATGTAAGGGTTACTGCCCGGTGTTGGCGGACGCTCTGGGTGGACACTCACCAGTGCCGCCTTCTGGCCCTTGTCTGCGGCATCGGCAGTCACGTAAGCTGTGGCGACGGCATAGCTGGCCCACACCGCGCCCACCGGCACCAGGGCGCGGAATGCCTCTCCCACCTCATTGGCATAGCCTGCAAGGGACCAAGACGAATCCACAGAGATCGCAAAAAATCATTTTCCGAACGCGCTGCAGCCCCTGCGTACATGGGGATATCGTTTCCATGGTGCAAGAGCCCAACCACCAACTTTCAAACACCTGCAGCAGAATCAAATGCAGTCCACAGGGGAAGAACGAGAAAGAAACGTTTCCACCAGTTAAAAATACTGCCAAAGTCACACTAATAAAATCACTGGTGTATAGAATTTTTTTTTTCTAATGCTTATTTAATCCAGCCTGCAGAACACAATCGAAACACAGAGATAAAACATTTTTAATAAAACCGCCTTTTTTAAAAAATCAATCCTTAAAAAATAAAATAAAGTTTTCTAAGTGTGAATTCAAGGTCACATGGGAGTGGGAGCCCATTTCTGAAAGCAACGGGCACAAGGCAGGGTACACCCTGGACTAAACGCCAGTCCACTGCAGGCACAAACACGCACACACTCACGTCAGGGCCAATTCTCCCAGAATTCAATTACCAGCATGCCTTTGGACTGCGAGAGGAAACCTACGCGAACACAGTGAGGACATGCGTACTCAACACAGACGGCACCCGGGGCCCAGGCACTGCGTGGCAGTAATGCTAACCACTGTGCGAGTGCTGTCAGTTCAGCTGTTCCCAAAATTAGAACACGTCAAGAGTAGAATTACAGCCCTGAATAATAGGAACATTTACAGCACAAAATGTCACCTGGAGGGTAGAAACTGCTACACTATATGTTGACAGAAATGTCTGGTGGTCAAGTCAGGGCCAATAAAAGTGTTGTAAAATTGCTGAAATGGGAAATGGGAACCTTGCTGAATGAGCAGCAGCTTAGCTTGAGAAAGCTGAACCAGCCTCATTCTGGGGTGCAAAGAATGTCACATACGCAGAGATTACATTATTCTTGAAAACTCTCAGCTGTTTAAAATTAGGTTTTAAACCTGTTTGTTAATGTATCATACGTTAAATCAAATATTACATGACCATTGGGTTTTTATTGCTGTGAAAAATTATCTTTTTCTTCCCTTAAACTTTTATACAACACTGCAGTGTTGTTCATTCCATGGCAGAGGTGTTAAAAGGAAGATCTCAGGGACTGATTTGCAAACGAACACCTAGTAAGTAAATGAATACTGTACAATACCAGATATTAATTCACTCTCGAGTAGAATAATACTGTACAAAACTAGATATTAATTCACTCCCAAGTAAATGTATATTATACAACAGATTTGAATTCACTCTCACGTAATTGAATACTACACAATACTAGATATCAACTCAAGAAGCACTGTACACGATATCTCTACTGGCACCTAATGGACACCCGGCAGAAAAGCATTCTATTTGTGTCTCATCCAATCCTGTCAAGAACGCAAACTGCTGTTCTGCATTACGTACCGTAACCTTTATCAAGGGCACAAGATGTTCTCATCTTAATTAATAATTAATATGAAAATCAAGTCAGACAATAAATTACAATTTATTGCAAATAGCATTGTGGAAATCTTTTTCCGGGACAAACTCTCTCCTAGCTCATAAAGAACTATCTGGGATGATGTACAGGTTTCATTTACTCATTTGCTCTAAATATTTTTGTCAATGTACAATGGAAATCAGATCTTGCTTAATATTTAAGAGGTCAGTTATGGTCCAGAAACATTCCACATTTTTTACTTAACAGATATGCACACACTCACACCTTGGGACAATGATTTTATTGAAGCACAGAAGAAATCCATCCATCCATTTTCTAACCACTTTATTCAATTCAGGATCACAAGGGAGCAGGAGCCTGTCCCAGCAAGCAATAGGCAGAGGGCAGGATACACCCTGGATGGGACGCCAGTCCATCACAGGGCAGACAGACACAGCCATACGCACAGGGCCACTTTTCCCAGAAAGAAGTTAACCTACCAGTACGTATTTGAACTGTGGGAGGAAACCGGAGCGCCCGGAGGAACACCACACAAACAAAGGCAGAACATACAAACTCCACACAGCTGGCACCGCAGGAAATGAAATCAGGGCTCCAGTGCTGTGAGACAGCAGCGCTAACCATGTTTGCCTTACCTCAATTGCATTATAATAAATCAAAATCAGCACTTTCTTCACACCCCTAAAACGAGTATGCAGTAGTGTTTAGTGGCTCATACTGTATATCATGCAGACATCAGGAACCAAATGTCCATTTTCAAGAAAAACAACCAAACTGGCATTTGCTGAGTAATTTTTCAAAATGTCCCTATAATTTTATTGAGTAAATAAGACAGAGTCTGGAGGGTGCAGCTCCAGTTTTGCTTCCTGTACAAAATGTAGGCCTTTCCTGTTTGCTCACTGCCAGCGCTGGTTCCTGGTTTTAAGGCTGCCTCACCGTGAGTCTTACAGCCTCAGACATATAGACGCAGTAGGTCTCATAACTTGATGGAAATAAATATTAGTAAACTATTTCTGAGTGTTTTGTATCCAACTTAGGGATGTTTTGGTACAACAGACATCGAGCATGAGAGCTAAGGTAACAATTACAGTATAATTTATAAATATAATTACAAATGCATGTCAAAATAACAAAGGCTGCTGTGTCAACAAAGACAATATTAGTCATAATATAAACTGTCCCTGTTTATATTGTAAACTCACTGTTTATATTGTAATAGTGCAACAGTACCTCGATGTTTTGTGTATCGTGGTTTGGCAGTGCTGAAGTTTGAGAAAGAGCCCTACTAACTTTATTCGTAACTTGTTTTCAGTTTTTTTTTTTATTTGTTTGAGTAACAAGAAAGGCAATATTTCAACACGGAGCAGGCGTTACACGTGTTGTACTGCTGGTCTCTTGCGAAGTACAGTAGAGTAGTATAAAGTTGTACTACTGCCTGGTAGTTAAAGTTAAAGTTAAAGGTGATTCCCAGCCCTTGAAGGGTGTTTCACGCAAACCCCGCTTAAAGACGGGAGCTAACATCCCCGGCTAAGGAAACGCGACAAATCGATAAGTTGCACGATAACTTTTTAGGGCTTACCTAAAAAGCGGACCCATGTGTCTCGATATATATCGACCTCCTTGGCCGGCTGCGCCCGGGACGGATCCATGTCCCTCTGCACCGTGCAAGCGCGTCCGATCGCCGGGGTCCACGACTAAGGGCTCGTCAGCAAACTATCACGTTCTTCACTGTTTTTACAAATACTGTACGCGATGACTATACCCATATAGCACTTTTCAAAGTCCTAGTTACCGAGGACGACCTGGTAAAAGCGCGTTTAAAAGAGATAAAACGTTTCACTGTGGTTTACTACAGTGGCGATTAGCCATAATTTAGTAATGGGGGGGGGGGGGGGCACGTTTTTAGAAATGATTTGAGTTTCCCGTTTTAGAAAGCAAACGAGTGCCTTCATTCTATAATTCAGCTTCTCGATCAAAATAAATACTAAAGGTCTCTTTACCGCTCCACAGCCCGGTTTAACGTGCCCAGGCTTAATTAAAGCGTGCGTTTTGTGGTGAAAAAAAAATACTGCGCACTGCACCAGGTGAACGACGGTCCCCAAGTGCCAGGAGGTCTGCTACAGCAGCTGCCTGACTGAATATCACAAAAGGATGCGTTACTGCAAACTCACCCTTAACCACCTTCATATCATATGGGGACTATATCCCTAGAGACACCCTGAATCTGTGTCACAGTGCACTAATAACACTAATTACGATTTTGGCCTGTCGCGATTAAAACAAGGTCATTGAGGTGGAGTGGCCTGAGGAGTTCGCGCATGCCTGTACTTGCTACCAGTGCACTGATTATACACAGCAGTTTGCCGTCATAACAGCTCAGGCTGACGAAGTCGTACCAGAGCAGAACTTTAAAGAACCGTGTCGTTTAAATACACCCAGACTGATGATGACGATAAGACACAGTACACAACAGCACAAATCCGACAGACACCTTTCCGCCCCCTCTCTCTCCCGGACAATGTCCCTCGCCACTCCCCCTCTCCACACTGAGCTCCGGTGAAGCTGCCCCCGTAAAAAAAAACAGCACAAACGGTGAAACCCCCCTCATTGCTCTGTGACGCTGAAAATAGCGTGTGTGCTGCTTTCGTTTCCGAGATATAGCGCCTTGCTTTTTCGGGTTATAACGTGACACTCTACAACGAAGGTTGCAGGTACCAACACACTCGATACTTGAACTCCTGACTGTGATCAAAACAAAGGGTGCAGTCTGTCTGGTCGGGTGGTGTGGATGTTTCAAGATATTTCACTATAGCGCCTTCTTTTTCTGGCTGTGACGTCATCCTGTGACGTACAAAAACAGCAAGATCACGATCACCAGATCTTTCACCTGTGATCTTTTAATCAGTTGATCACAGTCTTTGCAATTTCACACCTTTATGGTCGGGGAACAATACAGAGCTTTAATGCAGTACGTTTCCTTGAACAGTTACACACCAGATGATGCAATTTTGTACTAAACTCTACGTCATTAATATACTCTGTTTTGTGACGGTAGAACTTAATAAGTATTGTAAGAAAACTTTTGCTTTGAATTTTAAAGCAATACGCACAGTTTACTGAAAATGATGTTGAACGTCGGTCTCTAAATAGTTAAGGTGATCTTTACAACACACAGGCAGCAACAGACAATAGACAGTTTAGCTCGTACCCTTAACATTTTAAAGACAATCAATATCCTTAAACATATGAGCCTCTTCAGACGTGAGTAATACTAAGACATGACGTACGCCAACAAGTTAACCATCTATGACATAAACCTGTGGTTGTAATGTTTGTAAAATCACCAAAGATCTATGGTTTTTATTTTCTAAGTCACGTTATCATTTTCTTTACATTCTGTTGCCGAACGCGTAATTGTGGGATACCATCGCGACAAGACCTCCACAGCATCTCATGATAGGGACCCCATGTATATCACATGTATATCGCGGCTGTGTATATCAGTACTGGCGCCCCCTGGCACCGCTGTCGCAAAAAAGGTCTCATATCAGTACATGATATACCCAGATAGGAAGTGTTGCAATATATGGACTTTGTGTCACGACATGGGGTCAGCATATCCTGTCAGGGTATTTCCTATTGCAACATATGGACTCAATATCGTGATATGGGGAGTGGGGCGTTTTGTCAGGGTATGTCATATCGCGATATATGGGCTTCATGTCGCGACATGGGGGCAGTGGCATTTGGCAGGTTATGTCATATCGCGATATATGGGCTTCATGTCG